AAAAGAGGTTATCACCAGGCCTTTAAATTGCTTTTGTTTGTGTAGTTTTCTCCAATAAAGGAGTTTCAAAATCTTTTAAGTAATTTTTTCTTTTCTTTTCTTTTTTTTTTTTTTTTTTTTTTAAAAAAGCTCTAATAGTATGAATTCTTTTGTGGTTTGACAAGGGAATGCCTTTGGGCTTCTAAACTATGCTTGCCCTCATCAAATTCTGCACAGCTTTTCCTGAGATATTATGCATTAAAATTGCTATTTCCATTCTCTCTTTTGTGTGCCTCAAGCAAATACTGGACTCCCTACAGAACATTGAACAGTGACTACCCTAAGGAACTTCAGCAATGCCACAAAGGCAGTAGCAAAGGGACTATGTGGAGAGCACCTAGGAGCTGTAGCACAGTGGGAACCAGAAGCAAGAGTGGCAGGATAGCCCTCCCAGCACCAGCTTACCCAGCATCTGCCCCTTCCTCAACTAAATGAGATACTTCTGGGCCACTGTTCTCCCCAGATATTAAAGTGATGAGAGACTATAGGGCAGGACAGTTTCCTAAAGCCACCCTGAGCTTCTGCAACACATTATCTGGTGATCGTGTCTCACCTGAAATACCAGAGGGGGCACAATATCCTGGCAGATGAGGCAGAAGATAAAAATGCTCTGTCAATCAAGACCCAGCTGGCCACTCACATTAAGAATCATGAAGACCATATATAGTCTCAACTTAGCCTAACTTGGGTGTCAGCAGTCTCTGTAGCAATGCAAAAGACTCAGGCAAAGGGATGATGATGAACACACTAAGAGATTCAGTGGCACTCAAAGAAAACTGGTCTTTCTTTTAAAGCATTTGAAACAAAAGAGGGACTCAATACTACATTGAAAAGCACCATGTAGTTTGTCAACAAGAGCACTAAGAGGTTAGGAAACACTATCGAGAATGTACAGCATTAGCTAAACCCATCCGTTCATTTGGGTGTAGTTTTGTATTACAGGATTTTTAAACAGGTATTAAATGCTACATTTTAATAAATTGTTACAATACTTTTTGTTGTTCCTTAGGTGTCCCATCTTGTTCAGAGCACAAGACAGATATAGCTTACACTGTTCTGGTAGCAAGGTTCCAGAGCCTGATTTTGCAAATTAAATAGACTCCTATAACCATGAAGTGTTTGGGGAAATCCAGAATGTCAGTACAGCAAAATTTGTTTAGTATGACCAAATTACCACCCTACAGACAAGGTCATCCAATTTATGTGCTTTATCCTACTGTTCATGGAACTGCCAGTGCCATCCAGTCCTGTCAATCCGTTTGCTGCATCCTGCTATTCCCTCTCACAGGCTAATTACTCTGTTGGCTGTTCAGGAAGAGACCATTTTGATATTATTCATATTGTAGTATTCATATGTAGTATTCATATACTACATAGCACAGTGAAACCTTGTTCACTGATTAAAGCCCTTCTGGTACTACTAAAATAATTATCATACGACCCACATGAGAGACAGCACACCAACATGGCACTTAAAAGACCACCTGGAAGTGCTGAGGCATTCAAAACTAATGGGCAAAGTAACTAAACAAGTTCTTTCAAACCCTTACCAAGAAAAATGTTTCTTTTGTGACTGGTTTGTGCTCTTTAGAACACGTGATTTTGTCTACCCTGCTTTATTCATCACTCAGTTAAATATATAGTGTGACAAAAAAAACCTTGCAGTGCAAATAATAGAACATTCCCTACCATAAGCAATGTATTAATAGGTAGCCAAACCTTCAAACACTTTTCTCTGTCTAAGACTAACTCAGGAGCATGGTTTTAAAACTAATTAGCAAGGTAACCTTTTTCCTTTTCCCTTAGGAAATCTACTGTGCTTGATCCAAAAAGTATCTAATCCAAAATTCAAATCTAGGCTTCTTGCCAGCCATTACAGGATTAATTCCCACAACAATTCAGAGAGTTTTAGCCATAGTCAGCATGCAACTGAATATATGTTTACAGAAAAAGCACAAAGTATTGCTGCATGAAAGCTTTCCATTTATACAGCCCATTCTTAGAAGTTTACAGGATTCACTAAAAATAGCAAGCTAGCAACAACCGTTATAAAACACATGAAACCACATACAGTAGCACAGTTTAACTCAGCTATGAACTTTTCAGATGAAACAGCATGGCTAACTTTTAGTTACCCATACACAACACCAACAGGAACAGACATTTTCACAGTATTTAGTCACAATATAGCCCAGGTGCAAAGGGAGCAGCACAAACTTGGCCAGTCACTATAGCAGCATTTACATAGCAGGACAGACGCACGCTGCAAGGTGGCACATGTCCTGTATCCACACAACATGACTGATGATAGTGGAAGAGCAGAAGAATGACAGAAGTGAGATAAATACCTTCCTTCCGTGAGTCCCGACCTTGGGCTGGCCCCAGGACAAAGCCTAAGGCTAACATTAAATTTACACCACTGGACTACCATGTGAGAGAAAAAGGAAAAAAACCAGCTGCATTTGTATGTGGAGAGGCTGAGTTAATGGGGCTGTGGCCTACAGCTCATGCACACTACCATAACACAAACACACTAGTATCATACAATTAAAACATCCAGTCTGTTAGCAGGATGCATCCTAAAATGTGCTTTTATGCGTTATGCGTTTCACAAAAGAGATGCAATCTTCTCTCTTTTTCACAATGTCATATGCACCACTAAGTACACCCTGTGTATGCCTTTGAAAATATTCTCAGTAACAGCCATTCCTATTGTATTTGTCTCTACAGGTAAAAAGAACCATACTTTTGAGAGCAAAAAACACCTACCTGCTCTCCATTCACGCCTCTATTTCCTCAGGAAATCAAACACACTACCTTTAGATCACAGCTGAATCTGACCTTCATCTCATTGGAATGAAACTTGGTTAGGAGTTTATCAAGAACCTGAACTCATAAATGTCTATACTAAGGCACAGAAATTAAGATAGAGTGAGTGGAGCAGTCTGTAGCTCTCAGTTGCAACCAGTAATCTTCTGCTAATACTGTTCTGAGTTCAGTCTCTACATGATCAGCTTCTGCTTAACAGAAGAAACTGTCAAATATTTAGCCAATTCAAGAAGTTATTACCATATTTAGATGAACCAAGGTCTTGCCAGTAGTCTTACCGCAGAACTCTGGCTTCAAAAGCGTAACTGCTTAATTATTCACAGGCTAGGCATCATTCCTTAAAGAAACTAAGGTAATATGAAGAACACCCCATGAATACATCACTGCTCCTTCTTGCTAAGCATCCCCTGCTCCTCATCTCTGGCCGCAGTAACTCTGCACAGGCCATTTGGTGCGGAGCACTCCAGGCAGTGCTGCCTCAAGCCACTGCCTGCTTTGGCTGAAACATCTGAGTCTGGTTTCAATCTTCTTGTCTATTTAGTACTGCAATCTCCTGGTGGATAAAGCTCCAGACATCTGGCGAGGCCCTGTCAAGAAGGCTCTAGAGAGCGTGGGCTCAAGGACACAGAGATGGTTCAGGCAGAGTGAAAATGTCGTTGTCAACACGCTGACTCTTGGGGTTCTACCAGTGAACAGGCAGCCACCATGCCAAACACACTTTGAAA